TAGTGTGGAGATTGTGGTAAATGTCACAAAAAAGAATGTATGTGGACTGTTGAGTGGAAAACCAGTTTTCTATGTAAACTTTCACCCAAATCACAATTTAAAAAATAATAATAACAAAAGGAAAGAAGAAAGAAAGAAAACCCTGTAGGGCTGTTCTACTCTGTCACATGGGTTTGTCATGAGCCCGATCCACTTGATAGCACCTACTATCAATGATAACAATATTTCTTAAATATCTTTTTGTTTCAGGCACGGGACCAGCACTGTAAAAGTTCCAAAGATGAGGGAAACAAGTCCTCATTCTTAAGAATACTCTTGTCTATTACAAAAAATACAACATAGGTCCAAAAGAAAAAAAAAAAAAAAGTGTGAATAACAATAAGATGTTATGTGACCAAAAAGGAAGGTTTAAGTCCAGTAGAATCTAAGAAGGAGGGTTCATTTTGAGATAAAAATCAAGAAGAATTCATGTATAATAATGTACAACATTGTAGTTAAATTGAGTTTCAAAGGTAGGATTTAGATGGGGAGAGCTGGGCATGAACAGAAAAAGTAGAGGAAGAAAGAAGTTGATTAGACTCAGGGAAGAGCACGGACAAAGCAGAGAAGCAGGGAAAGCCATGTACACCAGAGCTATGAGTTTCAGTCCAGAGGGCCAGAGGCTCAGTAAGAATAATGAAGGTGGGGCTGCAAAGATACACACTCACGGCACAGCTGGTTCTGAATGTCATTCTAGAGTTGTTGTTGTTATGTGCCATCAAGTCGGACCCGACTCATAGAGACCCCTCCTTGGGTTTCCAAGGCAATATCACTACAGAAGTAGATTGCCCCATCTTCTTTCCGAGGAGTGGCTGGTGGGTTTGAACCACCAGCCTTCTGATTAGCAGTCAAGTGCCTTAGGCACTATGCTACTAGAGCTCCCCATCCTAGAGTAGTTGGATATTAGTACCTACCACAATTCCTGGGTACTTTGGAAACATTCAATAAAGGTTTGACGAATAAACCAACATAAGAGAATAAAATTCACATTTCTGCTTAACAATTTCTGTGGTAAATACAAAGTATGGCAGCCTACAAGATCCCTAATAAGTCTGCTGAAACGTAGATGCCAAGCAAGAAGCCTACTGAAGGGGAAATGAAATGGGGATGCAGATTTGACCTAAAATAGGAAGAATCACACAAGAAATGAGGACTTCATGTCTGTGCCTCACTTCTAAAAACAAATTTACAAGATTAATAGTGCCTTCCTGTAATAGAAATATTCTATATCTTGTTTTTTACTATGGTTATAAAATGGGTCACTATATTGTTTGTAGTAGTCCTTGGGTGGAGTGAGTGGTTTAAAAGCTTGATTATTAACTAAAAGGTTGGTTGTACAAATGCACCTTGAGGTACCTTGGAAGAAATGCCTGGTGATCTGCTTCTGAAAGGTCACAGCCTTGAAAAGTCTATGGAGCACAGTTCTCCTCCACACACATGGTCCTCATGAGTCAGAAATGACTTACCAGAAACTGGGATTTTTTTTTAAATTTTATTTTTCGTAAATAACTGTCTACTTTCATGAGAATCTGCTGCTCTTGACAACAAGACTCAATAAGTTGTCAAGAAAACCGGACTTTTATTCCATTGGGTGCTTTATATTTCACCCCTTTTGCTAATTTTTGTTATTACCTTCACTTACCTGTCAACATTGGTTTGCTCATACTTTGTTTATTCCTAACCCAAGACTTAATCTATGAGTTGTACTTCCTTACTGCTCTATCTGCAGCCCCATGTCTCTCTGACCAACTTACATCATAAACAGAAATGCTGCACCCTGTGTTTTTATATTAAAATCTACCAAGACTGAGAGCTCCTTGGGGTCAGGAAGTATTTGGTTTATTTGTGTGTCACTGTGGTCTAGTTCAGAGCCAGCACTTAGCAGGTACTCCTTAAAGCTTGCTGATTGAATGAAGCAGAGTAGCTGAACTAAAAGATATTTTTAAGCTTATTGCTCAACAATAGCAGAGGGTGTGGACTGTTTCTTCAGGTTTCTGTATTGCTCAAATGCCTTATTCTCTCACTGACTGCTTTCAAAAATGCTTTGAATTCAGTGCAGCCAAGGATCCCAAGGAACACATGACTTCCTTTAATGAATATAATGTGGTACAAGTGATGCTGTATGACTTCCAAGGCTAGGTTAGAAAGGTGACACAGTTTCCACCTTACTATTGTCTTAGGAGCTTTTTCTTGGAACCAAGCCACCATGTTATTAGGAAGCTCAGGATACCTAAAGAGACCATGTGAAGGCTGACAGGTGTAGCTGAAATTCTCATCAAATGATCACCTGCCAAAATGTGAGTTAGTAAGATCTTCCAATGATTTCAGTCCCATCTTGAGCTGCCCCTACTAAAGTGTTATAAAAACAAATTGTCTCTGGTCAGCCTTTTTCAGATTTCAGATTCATAAGCAAAATAAATGTTATTTCACTAAGCCAATATGTTTGGGACGTTTGTCAGACAGAAATAAATAACTCTTATGCCTTGGGCAAGTCACTTTCTCTCATATGGTACTCAATTTCCACACATGTAAAAAGTCAATCCGATAATGTAATCTCCAAGTTCTACTTTGCTCTGATTCTCAAAGGTTCTGCTGAGATGTGTAAAACAGCTATCACTTACACAGTGGCTATGTAAACACAGGATGCCCGTGAATCAGTATAATTTCATGCCCACAAGTTAGCATCAAAGGAGCTCTGGTAGAGTGGTACCTAAGGCATTTGACTGCTAACTAGAAGGTTGGAGGTTCAAACCCACCAGCTGCTCTGTGGACAGAAGTGGTGGCAATCTACTTACGTAAAGATTTACCGCCTCGAAAATTCAAACAGGGTCACTATGAGTTGGAATTGAATCGATGGTCTTAAGTTTCGTTAGCACCAAGGAGTCAGCAAACTATGGTCCATGAGCCAAATCCGGTCCACAATCTGTTTTGTCTTTGTTTTTTTAACAGATTTATTGAGATAAAATTCATATACTATACAATTCACTCATTAAAAGTGTATATAATTCAGTGGTTTATCATGTATTCACATGGTTGTATAACCAGCACCACAATCAATTCTACCACTTGTTTTTACAAATAAGATTTCATTGGAAAAGGGCCACATTCGTTTGTTTACTTAAGAAATGTTGCTTTTACTCTACAAGGAGGAGCTGACAGTTACAACAGAGATCTCATGGCCAGCTAATCCAACATTTACCATCTGGCCTTTCACAGGAAAAGTCTGCAAACCCCTGCTGTGGACACTAATCACCTTTGTCACGTGCTCTGTGTTTAGGATTACTGAGGAAGCACAATCCAGGTGGCTCTTTTCTTATTCCTAGGCAACTGTCTTGAGTTTCAGTTTCTTTATCTTCAAGAAGGGGATGACAGTACCTAACTCAGAAGGTTGTTGTTAAAAATAATACAAATTAGACAATAGATGTGACCCCTTCGAGCCAAAAAGCAACACAACGAAATTTTTGCAGACTTCTAGCTTAGTACCCTCAATGGCTTTCCATTTCACCCAGAATAAAACCCAGACGTCTTACCACTATCTACATATTGTTGTTGTTGTTTTGCCGTCGAGTCAGCCCCGACTCCTAGCGACCCCTCCTTGGGTTTCTGAGGCAGTATCACTATGGAAGTAGAATTGCCCAACCTTCCTTCCGAAACTATCTATGGAATCTGACCTCTGACATCATTTTGGACCATTTTCCCCCACACTCAACTTTCATTCCATGGTTCAAATCCATTAGCTCCTCCCTCTCCCCTTTGCCCTGACTGTTCCTCTCCTGGGATGTTCCTCCTCAGCCCTGTTCTGCAGATCCACACAGCCAGTCCTGTGTCATTTGGAGCTTAGCCAAGGGTACCATCTCCAAGAGGCCTTCCCAATTACACAATGTAAAGCATTCTTCCCCCTCACATCACTTCTATTATAGCCCTTACCAGTAACTAAATTTATATCACTTATGGGCTTACCAAAACCAAAAACCAAACCCACTGCTGTTAACTTCACTCACAGTGACCCTTTAGGACAGTAAAGAACTGCCTAGGCTGTAAATCTTTATGGAAGCAGACATTCTCTGGCTGAGTGACTGGTGGGTTCAAACCACCAAACTTTCATTTCATTGAGCAGCTGAGCATTTAACCACTGTGCCACTAAAAAAATAAATAAAAATCATTGCCTTCAAGTCAATTCTGACCCACAGCGACACCCATTGGGTTTCCAACGTGGTAAATCTTTACATAAGTAGATTGTCCCATCTTCCTTTTGTGAGTGGCTGGTGGGTTTGTTAACCTTCTGGTTAACAGTTAAATGCCTTAGGAACTATGCCTCCAGAGCTCCTTAACTGTGCCACTAAGGCTTACTGGTTTATTATTGTGCTCCTAAATAGAAGGTAATTCCATACAAGAAAAACTTTTCCATCTTGTTCACTGGTCTATCTCCAGCTCTCAGTATAGTATCTGGCACAAAATAGGAATAAATATGTGTTGAAACATGTCTATTTAGTATAAATAAATATTAAATAAGGCCCCCTTTTAAACACCAAAGGCTATTACAGACATTACAACATAGGGTTTTTCCCCATTCTTTTCCTGTTATCCCTTCCTACTAAAATTTGCTTACCTCAGGTCTTCTATAAAGAGCACTTAATTAAGGGCTATGCAAGGATTAAGTCAACATGCAAATTAGGTCAGTATCAAGGTCATGGGTAATGTGCAAGTAATCTAAAATGTAATGTTAGAAAAATCATCATGTATTATATGTGTTACACACTTTCTCTAATTTTAGTCCAGAGCCACCATAACATAATCTTAGATCTATATGCATTCCCCCTGCCTGGAATGTTCCTCCTCAAAAACCATGTTTACCAACTCAATTTTTCTGTGCAGCAGAAATCAACTGCCAAGTTGTCTGTAGACCACACACATCCACACACACTTCCTGAGATACAAGTTCTAGATAAATCACCTCCTACCTGCGTCCGATGCCAGATCACAGAAGCCCTGGAGTGGCCCAGCTTGTTCCGACAGGGGCCTTTGTCATAATGTATCAAGAGGAAATCATCCTGTGAGATTCAGAAAAAGAGCAAGAGTGAATGTAAGATTTATTTTCCATTTAATGAATGGTCCCTGCCTGAGCTACATTTCTTTTTTATATACTCAAAAAATAGATATGAGAGTATAATGACACCAAAGGAAGAACATTCACCTATAAACATCTCATGGCTGTCACTATAGTGCCAGAGGTCACAGTCCTCTCCAGGTGCTGTCCACTCTGCAGTCCTAGAGGACAGGGCAAACTGGGCACTAGAGGGCATCCTGGACCAGATTTCAATCCTCACCCTGAGAGGACCTCATATGGTACAGAATCTTGTGCTGATACAGAACTTCTGAACAAGTGTGTCAGAGGCTCTTGCTACTCCAGAAAAGCTCTTCCTGGCCACTAGTTATATTATGTCCAACTTGAGTTGTTTTTGTTTTTGCAACTTCCAAACCATCTTGACAGTATTTCCCCCTGGGGTTAGATTATTTTCATTTATCTGTGGTCCATCCTCCTCTATTAGTATTAGATTTCTCACCTGGAAAATGCTTTCTTTCAGCTTAGATTATTAAGTTTTTTTCACACTATTCAAGAAGAAGTCCAAACACCATCTTCTACCTACAATTATCCCAGTTGTCCAGAAGTATTTAGTAGCTCCTGTCACGGTTCTCATAGAAACACTGTGTTCAGGAGTTCATCATAGAATTCTCAAATTCTGTGTTGATTTCCAATCACTTTACATAACTAGTCTTCCCTAGGTTGTCAAATTGTTAAAGTTGAGACCTTTATATTTATGTAAATGTCTTTATGTTCTTCTGTGCAGTGCTTTGCACCCAGGATCTCAGTAATACTTATAGTGAGTGATGCGTAGTTTTTCTATACAAAACCCTCTGCTGCTTCATGAACAGGAAGTGGCCTTTTTTCTATCCAACTATGAGTAAGAGGAAACAGTTAAGTAGTACAATTGAAGGTATCCAGGATGGTGTATCTACTTAACCATGGCTGTAAGCACACAGCCTCCTTTTAAGAAAAAAAGTAAATAAACAGTATCTAATGTGTCTGAGAGAACAGGAAGTCACTACTCTGATAACAGGGAAAGTTGGACAGGAGTTGTTGTCTTCTGGCCCTTAAAAACAACTCTGAGAGAACTAGACTGGGTGGCTGTAGCCAGCTGTCTTTCCTCGTATCATGAGAATGGTACTGGTTTTGAGTTTGCTAATTCTGTATGTCAAAGCTCCTGATGCCTTAGTGTGTAGTGCTGTATCACTAAATCCTGACTTATTTATGGCAGAACACCATAAAGGCTTTGTTGGAGCTTTGACATCCCAGCCAGCCACTCTCTATTTTATCCCTTTTGCCTAGACTCCTCATCTGTCAAAGGAAGAATAAGAGTCGGTAAACTCAATGCCACTCCTAGGCTATTTGTCTTCTTTGAGGCTATTTCTGGCTACTTTTATCCACTGTGAACTCTGTCTTCATCAACGTCTTAATTATATCTACTTTCACACTAGTATTTATACATGATATATTTCACTATTATAGCTCTGTAATATAATATTTACACAGATATAATATTCATTTGTACATCTGGAACTTAAACCACATCATGTTGTCCTACAATTTTAAAAGTCTTGATCTCCACTAGCAGAGGCTGACAAATCTGGCTACACAGCAGAATCACGTGAACAGCTTATGGAGTATGCTGATGCTTGGCATTCACTGCCTAGATACTAATTCAGTAGGTCTAAAGTAGGGCCCAGTTAATAAACCCCCTAAGCACTGGCCCTTATGCTAGAGCTCCAACTTCTTAAATTTTGGCACACAAAGACTTTCATCAAAGTCCTAACTTTCTGTCCAGTATTTCTGGCCATGCTCAGACCACATACAACTCCACGCCATTCTTTATCAGTCTAGTTTTCTAGTTGCCTCCCTCAGTACATTCTATTCTCTTTCCCAGATGAACTTATAATCAGTATTCAAGGATTCAACTGTCATTGTCCTTCCCGTTTCCCTGAGACCCAGTGGGCTGCTCATAGACCTTACATCCATCCTCACTACAGTGCTCTTCACAAGGCACTATTGCTCTGGGTTATGAGGTTTCTCACCATGGAGAGATCACAGGTTCCTCAAGGGCAGGGACTATACTTACTCATCTCTGCAGCCCTCACGTCTAAACCAGAGTGAGCCACAGACTCTCACTGCATGCTATTCAAGGAAAATAAAAGCTGATTTTAAAAGTTCCTTTCTTAGAAACCAAAGCAAGACCTGTTGTCACTGAGTAAATTATGACTCATGGCAACCTCACGTATAAAACAGAACTGCTCCATACGATTTTTTTTGGCAGTAATCTTTATGGGAACAGATCACCAAGCTTTTCTTCTGAGGTGATGCTGTGTGGGTTCGAACCAGCAACCTTTTGATTAGTAGAGGAATGTAAACTGTGCGACTCAAGGACCTTTCTTTTCTTTTTACTTTTTTTTAATTTTTATTGTGGTTTGGGTGAACGTTTACAGAGCAAATTCACTTTCCACACGGCAGCTCACATACACTTTGTCTCATGACATTGATTGCAATTTCCAACCATGCAACAGTTCCCCCTTGTACTTCCTCCCCGTTGTTACCTCTTCCCTGTGTCCTTCTTCCCATGCACTCTTGCCCCCTGAGCTGTCTCCCTGTGCGTACACAGTCCTTCTATTCTCCCGTGATTGATCTCTCTAAGGAGTGCATCCACCTAATGTAAATGTTCAGCTCATATGCCTATCTTTTGTTTGGCTGGAAGCCACAGGACTGGGTTCAATTCCAGACCTGAAGGGCAGGTAGGGGCCATAGTCTTAGGGGTTCTACCAGGCTCTATCAGACCAGCAAACCTGGTATTTCTTTTATGGTTTTTAATGATTTTGAGTTTTTTCCACATTGTTCTCCCACTTTGTCCAGGATCTCCAGATAGCATTTCGAGTGGTTAACCATGGTAGCCAGTCACCACCTAGTTCTTCTGGGCTGAGGATCGCATGGTATACCAGTCTCTTGGACTAATCATCTCTGTGGGTCTTTGTTCTTTTTCATTTTCCTTTGCTCTTGATGAGAAGAGACCCATCGTTGCATCTAGATGGCCGCTTGCAAGCTTTTAAGATTGCAGTCACTATTTGACAAAGTAAGATGTGAAACAGTGTTTTTGTATAGTATGCTATTCCAGGTGAGCTTGATGGCCCCTGTGGCTATGGTCCCGAGCCCACAGGTCCAATTATTCACTCCCTCTGAGTAGCTGGCTGTGGCCAAGAAGTGACTACAACCTTGTCAGGGATATTTCTTATACTCTAATATGCTTTTTATACCATATAAATGCTTTAATTGCAATTTTAATTTTAATGATGAAGCCCTGAGGCATAACAAAAATCCCAAGACCTGCCTAGGTCTATTTTAATAAGAAGACACATTTCCTCACTATTGTTCAGAAGTTTAATTAAACTCCTTCATGGAAACAGAAATAATAGAGCATGCTACAGAAAGATACAGAGAGCTGTGCTCCACATGGTTTTCAACGGCTCATTTTTTGGAAGTAAATCACCAGGCCTTTCTTCTGAGGCACTTCTGGGTAGAGTTCAACTGCTTTTTGGTCAGCAGTCTTGGGTGCTAACCCTTTGTAGCACCTAGAGACTCCAAGATATATGATAATTAAATGATCAGTTTTCCAAAAAACTGGAAAACAGTTACATGCAACAAAATATAATAATGCTTTGGAGATGTTCAAAGATAAAACAAGATTCCTTAGAGTGATTCAAGTACTTAAGGTTTAAAATTTCTTTTCAAACTCTGGCTTAGAGCAGCATGGTCTAACACAAAGATGATGGCTTTTAAGAGTTTGACAGATCATAGATTGGAAACTGATTCCATACTTTACTATATCAGTTTGAGAAGGATCTTTAACCACCTTGGATTTCTTTTTAGAAAAGGAAATCATAATTCCAACTGACACAGATAGTGCATGTATTAGATAAAATAGGTATATAGAGGAAACTATACCATGCTGGCACATACTAACTATTTTAACAAAAAGTAATTACTCACCTCTCAAAAAAGAAAAAGAAAAAGAGAAACTGAACTTGTCCTTTTCTACTGTAAGCGGTGAGTGTGAGGGTAGCATTTTTAGTTAGTTGATAAGCAAAGAGAGAGGTGAATTATGGGCTACATCAGTAAAAGATTCAAATGGAAGATAGGACTTGACTATGTGCAGAAGAGGGAGAAGAGATAAATATGATCAGAAGGAAGTGGTTGAAAATAAATTGTAAGTCCTTGATACTTTTATGTGCAAGAAAGCATGCCTTGGGTGGAAAAATCCCCAAAGGAAGAGACAATGTATGCGAAATGCCCCTCCTCGTCTTAAGAGCTCTGCTGACCTCAAGCCTTACATTTGTGTGCTTGTCTTAAATCACTGTTACGGCCCTTGATAAATCACCCCACCAGTAGACTCCCTTTCCTCCAGAACCTCCTTTCAATGGCAATAGAGCCATTTTTCAGCAGCTTTTCAAATACAAAGAAAAACAGGAAACTATTGGCCACAAAGATGATGACTTTCAATGAGGCAAACTGCAGTGCATGTTTCTCTGTCATTAATTCAGGCAGAAGCCAGGGCAGTATTATGCCTTCCCACACAGGCCAGACCCTACTTTAGAATGAGAGTCAGACAGATGGTGGTCTGCAGAGACTAGAACAGAGAGTAAATAGTGTGATGTTTAAAGGGAAAGACAGTGGCATTTCCCTTCCACTCCCTGTACCTTGATTAAGGTAGTAAGAGGAGGTAGCAACAGAAATCAACGTGTTGTCAGTCCATTTCTAATACTGCCCCTGAAAAATCTAATACATAGGAAAACTGGCATTCACTTCCTTTTCCCTTTGATAAAAGTTACAAGGAGTGGTAAACTGCAGGCCAGGTACTAGATGACCAGTAAGCAGTTCCTACAGAGTTGATTCTGACTCATGGTGACCCCAATCCCAAGATCTGCCAGGAGTCTAGGTATATTTTAATAAGAGGACACATTTCCTCACTATTGTTCAGAGAAGTTTCATTAAACTCCTCTGTTGAAACAGAAACAATAGGGAATGCTACAGAAAGCTACAAAGTACAATTATGCTCCACAGGGTTTTCAGTGGCTCATTTTTCAGAGTAAATCACCAGGCCTTTCTTCTGAGGTACCTCTGGGTGGAATCCAACTGCTTTTTAGGTAGCAGTCATGGGTGTTAAGCATTTGCACCACCTAGGGACTCCAAGGTACTGGGCATTATATCATAACTCAATAATCAGTTTTCAATAAATTGGAACACAGTAAGATGTAACAAAATATAATAATGCTTTGGAGGCTGTAAAGGACTTGTAATGCTTCAGAAAGATCTTTCCAGTACCCCCTTCCCACCCCACATGGTCAAAAAACAATCTAGTTGTTTGGACTTAAGCAAAAGAAAACCAATCCTGCCAAACTGATTTATTAAACTTGCTAGGAAGCAACAAGGAAGCCTCCAGAATAGAAAATAGTAATACTTTCTCCAGATTTGCTCAGCTATACCAGTGTCTACTGTGAATTCGGTGAGTAATTTAAAGTTAATAACATTACTTTTGAAGGAGCCACCCAAAAGAAAATAATACGTTCAATTTTTTAAAAAAGGTGGTTTTCAAGTTTAAAAGATCTTGAATAGATGTGTTTGTTATCTTTTTAAATATTCCATCTCAAATACACTCTCATTTCCTTGGAAACTGACGAACCTGTTCTTCTGAGGTGAACATTTTATATAAGTAGCCGGCAAAGTTCCAAGGTAATTCCACTTGGCCCACTGTTAGGAATACTTTCTCCATTACTTTAACAGCCTGAGTTGACCCTTCTCAACCATACATGCTAGGGCGAACAGCTCTGATATAACCCCTCCTTACAGGTACTTTATGAGACATAGTGCTTTGATATCAGAATGAGAGTAAGGTAAGAAGGAGCAGTCTTTTGACAGATCCAATATGAACCTCTGACAATATAAAACATGCATTTATCCTAACCAACTTTATTTTACTTACATCTTAATGGCATAAAACTATTAGTGAATGAGAAGGATAGATTCATCTCTAACACACCAAAATATATCCTTTTATTATACCTCTTGGTTCATTTTGATTTTCACTAACTGCAATGGTCGTAATAGACGATTAGTTCTGCCATCTACGTAGAGTTTTAGAAAAGTACACACAAGTAAACTCTTCTAAATCTAAAGTCATAGAATCATCATTTTGGTAAAATTTTCACCCCCTCACCACCATGACCACCAGCGTGAGAAAGAACACAATGCTGAAAAGAAGTGTCATTTGCATCAGGCCTTGAAGATAGAGAAAGTGTAGTACACTGAGAGAGAGGGGAATTAGTTTGTGCAGATGCACAGATACGGTGTGTTTAGGAAGCACTCTTAGCAGAAGACTCTCAATATAGGGCACACTTGGGAGACTATTGGCATTTAAGGCTAGAAACTTAAATTGTGCTGGACAGGAAAGAGCTTTGTAGGGTATTTTGCCCTGTTGATGACAGGAGAGTCATTGAATATTGAAACTGCCCCTATGCCCAGCATGTTTAGTTTCCTGCGTGTTTCTTGCTATTCCACTAATAGTTCCCTTGAACAATATCTAAGACTCTATCCATCCCCTTAAGTCCCTGGATGAATCCCAAACCTGAACTGGTATTTCCCTCCCCAAAACTCCTGCACTAATTACTATCTTCTGATACCATTGCCCTCAATGAATTAATATTTTAATAAATGCAGAAAAAATTTGAATATTGCTTACTTTTCTTTTTCATAGAAAAAGTCTGTTAGCTCTTTAGGAAATGGCTGGTCTAATTTTTTCATTCTGAATCTGAACTCCAAAGCTCAACACAGCAATTTAAAGCTTAAGTCCATACTCACATCAAGAGACTCAAGACAGTACCAGCAGAAGGCGTGTTTGCAGTTTTTACACATCATTTGGGCACAGCCTTCATCACGTTCAATGTAGACTTTGCACTTGGGGCAGCGTTTGATTGGCGCATCGTCCTCTTCCATTTTGAAAGTAGAACTGTCGGAGAAATTCCATTAAGGCTTCTGCTTAGTGAGGTCCCAGGATAGATCTGTCAGCTTTAGTTCAGTTGAAAGCATTAGATTAACTAGACAGATCGAGGCCATTTTTTATCAAATGAAGCAAAACAAAGCCAAATAAAAAAATACAGAAACCAGAAAACTATGAGGTAGCGAATTTGTGTTAGACAGGGGTGGGGGGGGCGGCGGCAATGCCAGAACATATGCCAATTTAGAGGTATAGACAAACAAAGCATGAAAAATGGCTTTTAATGGGGCTATCTGATTAATGGCATTATGGTAAAGTTCATGCTCTTATTCACATATTTGCATACTTCATATGCACTGTTTTACTAAAATAAATAAATCAATGTTATAAACACATGCACATATAAACCCATACTTTGTGAGATATATCTGGCTTATCTTCACAAAATTGTTTTCATGAGAAACCTGGTTAGTCTAGCAGTGGTTAGCATGAAGGGCTTTAAGTCTGAGTTCAAGTGCTGGCTCTTCTACTCATTGGCTGTGTAATAACTTTTCTGAGCTTTAACGTTCTCATCATTGACAGGATAGAATGAAATTATATACAAAAAGAGCACAGTGTGATATCAAGCATATGTGAAGTACTTCAATACCTAGAAGGAATAATATTAGGCTGCTAATAAAAAAATATTTAGGTATGATTATGGGTAGATGTTTACCTATGCTATTAATTTAAAAAATAAGGCTAAATACATGCAAAAAAAAAATCTTGGAGAGTAAGTGGTAAACTGTAAAGAGTAGTTATTATTGATTATGAGGTACATTAGTTACACTGTTTGAACTCATTACATCAACAAATAACTTATAGAAAAATTATTTCCCTTTGGGAGAAAGATTTTTCTGAACATAATACATTTATGAGTATAAATTTATTTATATAAATTTAAGCAAGCAGAATGCATCCTTGTTCAAAGTTATTCCACAAATATCATAGTAAGTGAAAGTATAAATATTATAGTTTCACTTTAGATGAATTTTCTGACAACTAGTAGTGAATTTTCCATATGCCACATCCATAGAGTTTTCAAAAGCACATGACTCCTCCCCTATAGAGGTGTACATGATTCTGTTTTATCCATTTACAGGAGGTGAAAGGTAAAGAAATATTGGGAAGGAATCCAATACAATCTAGTAGTTAGGAGCATGAATTCTAGAGTCAGACAGACAAATCCTGGCTGCACCACCAAGTATCATCAACCTTACTCTCCTCATCTGCAAAAATGAGGATAATAGTATCAGACGGGCATCATGAGGATTAAAAGAGTTTAGTTGTGTCAAGTACAAAAGCAAATATCTTGGCCCTTGGATAGTAAACATTCAATGAATGGTAGCTGTTATTAATAATAAAATAAGTAATGGAAGGAAATAAAACTATCTCTAACTCAAAACTTTTTCCAGTTTAAAAATAACCTACAGACTGGAACGGCCCTACAAAATGTGATTTAGCATGAACTAGAGGTTATGAGAGGGCTAAATGAGATAACATATCTGTAGATGCCTCAAATAGGACCTGGCACAAAGTCAGTTCTGATCAAATGGGATCTATATCCACCTTCTGAGGATGAATCTGGTTTAGAGCTAGAAGTCATGAAAGGAGCTCTGGAGGCGCAGTGTCTCAGGCATTTGACTCCCAACCAGAAGGCTGGCGGTTCAAACCTACCAGCCACTCTGTGGAAGAAAGACTGGGCAATCTACTTCTGTAAAGATTTACTATCTCAGAAATCCAAAGAGGATCACTATGAGTTGGAATCGATTCGAAGGCAATAAGCTTGGAGTTTGGTTTAGAAGTCATGATGCACCAAATTCAGTGATTGTCAGTTATCGGGCTAGATAATATTGTTTCAGTTTAAAAGCCAGGCGTGATCATAAAGTCATGAAGCCGATTTTCTCATGTGACTCATAGCTAATTATAGGTCCATGTCACTAAATAGGGCAACATTGCTGGAGTGATCAGAGCATTTCTCAGGGAAACTTTACAAAAGGGGAAACGGGTAAAATACGTAAGTCTTGGCACACTGCCTTATGCTCAAGAAGCTCTAGTGGTATAGTGGGTAAGGCATTTGGCTTCTAATCCCAAAGTCAGTGGTTCAAACACATCAGCTGCTCTGAGGGAAGACAATGAAGCAATCTACAAAATTTACATGCACAGACAATGGTTTTCCAACATTTTTTGTTACTTCAATTATATTTCAAAATATTATTAATAATAACTCTTACTATAAACTCAAATACATTTGAGTTTACTGCCTAAGGCATTTGACTGCTAACCAGAAGGCTGGAGGTTCAAACCCAAGTCACTCCTCAGAAGGAAGAATTTGCAATCTACTTCCATTGAGATACTGCCGCGGAAACCCAAGGAGGGGTTACTATGAGTCAGAAACGACTTGATGGCAGTGAGTTTAAGTTTTAGTCTTACTATAAACTCAAATATACAAAATTAAATAGAAATCTTTGACATTTTAAGTCACCATCTGCATGAGTGAATGTCTTCAAGGGAAAAGACGTAATAAAAATGAGTGAAGCTGGCAAATGGTGAATAATAATGAGGTCAAAGCCTTGGTGGCACACGGTTAAGTGCTTGGCTGCTAACCCAGCACTTGGTAGTTCAAAGCCACTTAGAAGTTCTGTGGGAGAAAAACCTGGTGATCTACTCCCATAAAGATGATAGTCAAGAAAACCCTACGGAACAGTTCTGCTCTGCCCCCCGGTGACTATGGATCGAAAATTGACTTGACAGCACCTAACAACAACACAAGGAAGATTTCAAACTTTTGAATTAACTCTACTGTATAAAAAAATAACTGGGTTATATAAATGAAACTGACATTCAGCTTCAAAATGAGGGATACAAGCAGGAGCAGTGAAGACTGTGGCAAACTGGAGACAGCACATATTCCCTCTGAAAAGGCAGCTTCTGCTTTATTCAGGTGACAGTTACATGTGGCCCATCTGACTAAATATTCTCAGAGAAGCCAGAAGTTCATATTTTTATGTAAAAATCTTCTAGTTTATAGTTCCCACAAAATGTGGTTTAAACTCAAAAAACAAAACAAAACAAACAAATAAAAGAACTCACTGCCATAGAGTCAACTCTGACTCAGAGCAACTTCCATTGGGTTTCCAAGGCTGTAAATCTAGATTGTGGTGTCTTTTCTCCTGAGGCACAAGTAGCAGGCAGGTTCAAACTGCCGAACTCTAGGCTAGCAGCCAAGTTCTTAACCATTGTGCCACCAGAGCTCCAGGCTTACAGAAGTAGATCACCTTATCTTCCTCCAATGTAGCACCTGGTGAGTTTGAACCACTGACCTTCTGGTTAGCAGCCAAATGCCTTACCTACTACACTACCAGAACTCCTTTCAAAATGAGGTTTAGGAGCTTTTATTTAAATTGTCCTTGTGGAATGATTTAAATTAGACCAGAAGAGTAGATGAAGAAATAGTAAGTCATCAGGGTCTAAACATTCATAATCGTCCAATTTGATAAGGTTTTGTGCTCAAGAAAATAGCAGAATTAGGTCTCCTCCATTCCAACAAGGAGAAGCACATTGGTCCTTTCTTGTTCCCTGTCTTCTTGCTTAACAGAATGTAGGGAAACACTCACTCCTTTAATAGGGGAATTTCTCTTTTAGACAGATAATTTAATTGTTTCAGGAGGGTAAATACTCTCACATTGCCCTCTGCTTTCTCCTTCTCCACCCTGGAAATCAATTATTTTGAATCTAACCATGTGAGAAGTCCATTACTTTCTGTAAAATTTCAGCATCTAAACCTTATTAAAATCCTGTAACTTAAGTGATTCCTTCAAACATGTGAGTGAATGCCTGCCATGTTTCAAGATCTGGAGAGATAGAGATTAAAAAAAAAAAAAAAAAAAAACACAGGACATGATCTCGGAAGCTCAGCCTAATAGAAGAGTTAGTCATGTAAACAGATAAATTAAAATACAATGTGGCTTGTATTGTAACCCATATAGACAATCTGCAGTAAGAACACAGAGAATGGAGTCACTAACCTTGCCCTGGGAAACTGCAAAATCTTCACAAAGAAGGAGACATGAGCCATGACTTGAAAACATAGCAATGAGTATCCCAGGAAAAGGGGGAGGGTGGTGAGAGGGCATTCCAACCCTAAGGAACAGATGTGCTGGCAGAAGGTAGTCAAATGGTGTATTCCAGACATGCAAGTCAGGTCTTGGGGATTGTGGATGAGGGAAGGGGTACAGCAGAGTTGGAAGGGAGAAGCAGAAGAGGAAGACAGAGGGCAGCTGGGTGATAGAACCTTCAGGCAATTTCACAGGCAACGGATAATGGGCAATTGTAGGGAGTTCTTTTATGAAGGATGTTGTCTCAGTAGGGGAAGTAACAACTCTATCTTGAACCAAATGAAAATGCAGATTTTATAGGTCAAAGAGAGTTGAGTATTATCAATTTCTTATGGTTCAATTTCTTATGGTTCAAACTAATTATTTCAAGGTTCATGTAATGATGCTGTAGTTTCAACCTGGGCATAAAAACCACACCAATCACCATCTAATTGATTCTGATTCATGGTGACCTCATGTGTTGCAGAGTAGGGTTTCATAGGGCCTTCATGCCTGTGATCTTTTGGAAACAGACTGCCAGGCCTTTCTTCTGAGAATCCTCTAGGTGGCTTTGAACTGCCAACTTTTGGTTAGTAACCAAGTGCTTAATATTTGCCATCCAGGGAGCCTAACTGGGGCTTAAAGGCAACATAACTGTTGGGAAGAAGAGAGGCAGAAAGAAAATAGTGTTTTATGATATCTTTCCTAATTTTGTGGTTGTTGTTGTTGCTATTATGTGCCGTCAAATCAGACCCAACTCATAGCGACCCCTCCTTGGGTTTCCGAGGTGGTACCACTACAGGAGTAGATTGCCCAACCTTCTTTCTGAGGAGTGGCTGGTGGGTTTGAACCACCAGCCTTCTGGTTAGCAGTCAAGTGCCTTAGGCACTACACTACTAGAGCTCCTAATGTTGTGATTAGGTGCCATCAAGTTGACTTAAAATCGTAGCAACTTCAGAGTAGAACTGCTCCATAGGGTTTCCTAGGCTATAATCTTATGGGAAGAAGCTGGGCTGCTAACTGACAGGTTGGCTTTCACTACAACCAATTGCTCAGCAGAAGAATGATGTGGCAGTCTACTTCCATAAAGATTACAGCCTTGGTAACCTTTTGGGGGCAGTTCTACTCTGTCCTAGTGAGTCACCATGAGTCAGAATCAATTACATGGTTTAGAATCTTTATGGAACCAGATTGCCAGGTCTTTCTCTCACAGAGTTGTTGGGTGGGTTTGAACTGCCAACATTTCAGGTAGCAGCCAAGCACTTAAGGGTTGTGTCATCAGGGCTCTTTATCCTTCCTGATAGTCTCACTATTTTAGGAAGATGTAGATGTCTTGGCCTTGGGAACCTGGGGATCTGTTTCTGATGACTCTTCTGTTATCTAACTATTGCCCATCTAGTATTGTTCTATTCATGCACCCCCATTTTGGATCATCTTCAACACAACTAAAGCTTGGAAAGACTTCAGGTATCATAGGATATAAAATACTGAATAGTAAGGAGGGGTTGCTATGAGTCAGGTCCGACTCGACAGCAGTGTGTTTTTTGTTAATTAATTGTTTATATATTTGTCTTTCCAAAACAAGCAGTTTATAGCTTTGTTTCTTATATAACTTTATATTCCTAGGACCTTGCCCAGTGCAGCACACACAGCTAATCTTCAAAAATAAATAAATAAATAATGATAAATAGAAAGAAAGGCAGACAGACAAATGAAAGTCCAAATGAAACTCAAGAGGATGAGGATTTGGTGAGACTGATCTAGATGCAGTTCTGTCCTTTTCTGTGGAAGGTTTAGGGAGGAAGCCTGTTTCTTTTTCCCAGCCCTCAACCCTCACACTTTGTGGCAGCTTGTGTTCAGAGGATACCTGGTTTCCCCTGGAAGGAAGGTGATTGGCATGGTGTCTTGGCAGCCCTGACCGGGGTGCCAGCTGGCTTTGCAGTAGGAGCAGAATTCCATGTCACAAGCCTTGCACTGCACCAGCTGAGGGGTCTGCAGTCCCATCTCCTGTAGCTGGCACACAGCCTGGCAGGTGGACGCAGGGCACCAAGTCCGACAGGGATCCAAGAGCACCTCTAGCACAGGGAAAGAAAACAGGCAAATCACACTCGGAAGATCAAACGATGACACTGGGTTTCAGGATTGAGGAATCATGTCAACCCACAGCTGAGCATTTTTAATGTCTAGGATAACATCCAGATAATTTAGTAAGGCAAAAGTGGTCACTCCTGATTTGGACCCCATCTTGCTCTTCAGCCTCCCCTCTAGGCACTCCCAACTTTTTACTAATTTTTCATGTGGGAGAGAAACAGACCTTCAAATATTCTATGACTCCTTTACCTGTGCTGTGTACACATATAACACCCTAGTCTACCTAAGATATACTCTGCTTGTTCTTGAGGGCTCAGCTCAGATGCCACGATGTTCTGTAAATCTTTGCCTAAGCACCCCAGCTGGGTTATCTCTGGTTCCTGCGCCCCATAATCCTTACTGCACTGTACTTGGAGAATCTCTTTCCTTGTCTGCCTCCCTGGGAGACAGTTTTCTAAAGTCAGGAATGTGTTTTTAATCTTGCATCCTTCCCACCTGACCCAGTGCAAGGCACACAGTAGGCACTCAGAAAATGTGTGCTAAAGAATGGGATGAAGGGAAGGAAGGAAGATGGCTGAATTCTTCTTCTCAAATGATTCATCTGCTTGGTATTTTCTGACTTCCCAAATTTAAATCTAAGCCATGAACTAACTACACAATAAAACTACTGCTTTGATGACTTGGTTAACCCTCTGAAGTGGACTGTAAGTAACTAAGAAAACTAATTTAATGAAATTAGTCAGGAAGTTTATTTTTCAAAGCAGGACACCCTGACACTCCCATTCCTTCAAACGCTTGTTAAAAAGAAATCCATTTCTTTAAATAATTAGCCCTGAGATGTCTTTACTTGTGAGCCCAGTTATTAATTTTATTTACTCTCTTGTATAGTGTGACACTGAATTCTTAATGAATGTAGAGTGGGAGGGAGAATCCTGCCAGGAAACCACATGGAATTTTAACACTCTGCCAAAAATCTGTCTGAGGCCAAAGGATTATGCGACTATTTTCAAAGGTCTTCAAGTAGGACACTGATTTCTAAGCTTTTTAGCAAGGTTGTTCTTGGGAAGTAATTCGAGACAACTGGATTTTTCTGGGGAAATTTGGAATGTGATGAAAAGGCCCTTGCAAACTTCTCGGCTGTATGACTGGCAGCCAGGAAAGTTTCAGTTCACCTGCATTAAACATACTGTGAATACTCACTGAGAATCTATAACATGTTGTGGACTTAGGGTGGGTTCAGACCTCACCTAAACATATTGTCACAGGCTGAACAGGAATCACTAGGTGGGGTGTTCTGACTATGAATATACAGGCATACATGCATATTATATTTTTCCATTCTACATTTAATTGAAGCCAGATTCAGTCATCTGGGCTCAAGCTTGTTCAGGTATATCCTTCCTAAAAATATAGTCATATAATCAAATATCAACAGGTCTTTGAATTAAAAATCAGTGAGTATTTTACTCTTGGTGAACCATATAGTTTCTGTGGCAACTACTCTATTGTACTGTCGCCAAGCAAAAGCTGCTATGGACAATACAAAAGTAACGGGTGTGGCTGTGTTACAACAAAACGTTATTTACAAAAACAGGCTGTGGGCTGAACTTGGCCTACTGGCCCAGGTTTGTTCTACCCTCCTTTTTTCATACAAAATGATGAACTAAACAATGGTATAAAAATTGGTACCTCTGCTAGATTAAGGTGCTCTTGTGGTGTAGTTGGGAGCTCTGGTAGCACAGTGCCTAAGGCATTTGACTGCTAAACAGAAGGCTGGTGGTTCAAACCCACCAGCCGCTCCTCGGAAGAAAGGTTGGGCAATCTACTTTTGTAGAGATACCGCCTTGGAAACCCAAGGAGGGTTTGCTATGAATTGGATCTGACTCAACGGCAGTGGATTTTTTGTGGTGTAGTTGTTAAAGAATTAGGCTGCTGATGAAAAGTTTGGCAGTTCAAACCCACTAGCTGTTCTGCCAGCAAAAGATAAGGCAATCTGTTTCCATAAATATTTACTGCCTTGGAAACCCTATGGTGCAGATCTATTCTGTTCTAAGGGGTTGTTATGAGTTGGAATCATGTTGTGAGTTGTTATGAGTTGGCAGTGGGCTTTGGCCAGAAGATTTTGAAGAACTTGCTTATATAAAGGGACTCTGAAGTGGTATTCATGAAAATGTGCCACTCTTTAATTGCTTTTCATTATAATAATGCAAAAACATTCAATGAAACTTCTAATAGTGAGTAAAATAATGCAAATAGGTCTTGTCTTGCTGTTGTTATGTGCCATCAAGTCAGATTCGACTCATAGCGACCCCTCCTTGGGTTTCCGAGGCAGTATCACTATGGAAGTAGACTGCCCAACCTTCCTTCCGAAGAGTGGCTGGTGAGTTTGAACCTCCAGCCTTCTGGTTAGCAGTCAAGTGCCTTAGGCACTATGCTACCAGAGCTCCTGGTCTTGTCTTAGTAATTGATATTTTCAACATTTGCTTTTCTAAGAATGTTTCTGGCTATCAGATCTGATGAAGTGACTTTGTGAGAAAAATGTATTCGTTGTTTCTGAGAATAGATGTGCCGCAGCAGCTGACTGTGGCATCTCTGGGCTGAGGGGACACAGCAAGATGAGGAGAGAGAGGTGCACTGGCTGGCCCTGCCACACTGAGTTCTTCGCTGAGAACTAGAAAGAACTCACTGTACAAAAGAAATTCCAAAGGCAGCTCTTGAATTAGGCACTCGAGAATTAAAAGTAATTCAGTTTAACTCTCAACCCTATCCCATTCCATCTCTACTAACCTCTTTGTATATTTATGTAGGTAGTAGTTCTCTGTCTATTCTTAGTGTGTGCTGTGGGTAAGCAGTGATACCCACAAGACTAGCCTATGAGATCTTAGATTTACACAGCACCTAACACAGGCTCTGCAAGGAAGAAGCACTCAATGTGCTAAGTAAGCAACATAAAGCACATTAAGAAAAATCTTCAACCTGTGCTTTCTCTTCCTTGCATTTGATACTTGGTTAGTTCTGGTTTATCAGAGAGCTGTGGCCCAGCTATAGGACAATTTCTCCCATTTAGAATCTTCAAATACCTATTGTTCCCTTTGCCTCTTTTTTTTTTTTTGTACAGAGAAGCCTTTGACAGCCAGGTAGGGAACAGTTTCCAAAGCTGTGCCAACTATGTCTTTATGCATTTTACTGATATATTCTACCTCCAGATCATCCTTCATGCACAACAAAATGGAAGATGTATTATGCTACTCCAAGATGAAAGGCCCAATTAAACCATGGAGTGGATGGTAAAAGAAACTTGGTTAAAACTTTCATGGTAACTACTTTAATTTTCTAACTTTTATACTTACCGAGATCTGTGACATCGCATTACCTGTCCTCCCCAGGACAGATTTCCTATCAGAAAGATAAAGGGCAAATAATCTGCCCAATATGCCTACTATAAAAACCCTTCCTGTGCTTCCCGGATACATTAAACTGTGACACCGCAAGGTTTTGGGCTCAGATGTCTATTAATATTCTAAATCACCCTCCCCATAGCTGAACTCTGCTAACTGTGTGTAAAAGACAGATAAATAAATAAGAAAATCACACCAGGTAACATTGTAAAATTTTTCTTTTGACTAAGAAGCTAAGTAAGTAAGTAAATAAATAAAACTAAAAATAAAACAAAACCAAAAAAAAAACAACTCACTGACATCAAGTCAGATCTGACTTACAGCGACCCCTCCTTGGGTTTCCGAGGCAGTATCACTATGGAAGTAGATTGCCCAACCTTCTTTCCAAGGAGTCTTCAGTCTCCCGAAGATATATTAATACTGGATTAATGAAGCAAATCTCTAATATCACTACTTACAAAAAAGTGCAAGACTTATTAAAAAGGCACTTTTCTTTTTTAAAATAGTTTTTTAACTTTCAGAAGCATTCTGTAAAGGAAAATGCAACTAATTTACCCACATATACTAGCTCTTATTGCACTGCTTGCTCAAGGTACTTACTATAAGTCTAAGGTTGTAGGTTTGATCTTGTTGTGAGAAAGTATACTTTTCTGGATTTCTCAGTTATTTAATCTCTCTCTGAACTTTAATCTCCTTCTTTTTTTTTTTTTTTTAGGGGATATCAAAAAGGCCTTAGGAGCTCTGGTAGCATAGCACCTAAGGCACTTGACTGCTAACCAGAAGGCTGGTGGTTCAAACCCACCAGCCATTCCTCGGAAGGAAGTTTGGGCAATCTACTTCTGTAGTGATACCGCCTCAGAAACCCAAGGAGGGGTCGCTATAAGTCAGGTCTGACTCGATGGCACACAACAACAACAAAAAGGCCTTAGCAATCATTCCCCAATTATTGACAGTGGGATAAAGAAATGGCTGAGCCATGGTTCCTGTCTGTGAGAGATGGTGTGAGCTTCAGGAGTGATCGGCATGTAAAACATATTTGCAGCATAACACAGTACCACAATAAACCCTCAGGCATTGGGTCAGTTCTGACTCATGGTGACCCCATTGGGTTTCCAAGGCTGTATATCTTTACAGAAGTAGATTGCCTCATCTTCTTTCCACGAAGCAGCTTGTGGGTTTGAAGTGCTAACCTTCTGGTTAGCAGTTGAATGTTTACCTATTATGCCACCAGAGCTCAATAGGTATGTGGAAATAATATAGTGGGGCATGCACATGAGAGTGGTTAGCTCTACCTCTTCCAAGAGCCTGTCTTTCACTCATTATTCGGAATTAGAAGACTGAGGGAGCAGATGCTCAGAAAGCGAGACAAAGGCCCCATAGCTCCCTTCTGTAACTTCCTGTTTGCCAAAGGCCCCGATGGAGGAGTATAGACGTTTCAATTAAAACGAAGGGTGTTATATTAGATAGTGCATTCTGCGACTAAATAGAGACAGTGTTTGTAACTTAAATTAACCACAGAGTAAGTAAATGTTGTCATAAAAATCATAGAACAATTAGAGTTTACTTCCAGGACATTTTTCACTCTCTCTCTCTCTCTCTCTCTATATATATATAAAGGGATTAAAACCAAAAATAAAACCCAAACTCACTGCCATCAAGTTAGATCCAACTCATAGCGACCCCTTCTTGGGTTTCTGAGGCAGTATCACTATGGAAGTAGATTGTCCAACTTTCTAAGGAGTGGCTAGTGGGTTTGAACCACCAGCCTAAACAATCCAAATTTGTTTTCTAATCACATCTCAAAATTTGTTCATTATACTCGATATAGTAGATAACTCTATTTCAGCTCTAAGATTTTAACATTTTACTCAGACAAGAGGTTTGTCTTATTAAGTCTGGATCTAATTTTTTTTTTTTTTTTGAATTTTAGTTTTTAGAACAATGTTTTAAAAATGTTCTAAAGTGATAACTTTGAGACATTATTTTTTAAAGCCTAAGTCAGGTTGGCCACATTTTTAATGCAAAAAAAAAGTCATCTTTGACTAAGCCAAAATACTAAAGAAATAAGAACAGTTAAAATTATTAAGTAGGAAAATTTACCCAGGTGCATTTTTTTAAATTAAATTCAATGTCATAGAAAGTTCATTTTCTTGTATCCCTAACAACTGCCATTTTCTGTCAAAATTCTTCCTGGAAAATGTGTTCAGAAGAGCCGGAATGTCTCAGAAATTCAAATTAATCAATTTTATACCTCCACGTATTTACTTTTGTACCACATGATATTTATATTTAAACTATAAAGTCATCTAAACCAACATGGCATATGTCATTTAAAGAAACAAGGTCTTGAAAACAAATTTCAATGCCATCAAACTCTTGATTTTTTTAATGTTGACCACATATTATCCTTTTTCCATTCTTTTTAAAAGTAAGCTTTAAGATAAAATATAGCTATCCTTAGCATGTCTCTCTCTCTCTCTCTTTTTTTAACCTTCATGTTCACCCAAACTAAGAATATCTTGGTGAGTTCCTTTATTCTGCATTCCATTTCCATGATGACAGTGGTTTTCACTTAAATATGAAATGGGGCTTGTATCTCAGTAGAGAATGCCTGCTATAGGCAAGAAACTGAGAAACTTGATTTAAGGAAGAAGGAGGAAGACTTCACTGATTATAAAAGGTCCAGAACATATGTGAAAAGTAGGCCAAATGGAGTCAAACAGATTTTTTTTTAAATATCACATAAGACCCTGGAGTACCTCAGAGAGTAAAGATGAAGACCTCTCCTGGACATTCAAAATGTTTTAATGCTTTGCAATGCGATCTTGAAATAATGTCAAAGCTTCTCTGCCCACACTCTCAGGTGATTTACTCCAGGCCACTGCCCTGAAGAATCATGAAGTCTGTACCAGGTCTGGCTCGGGAAAGATGCTGCACAGGGCACAGTGGGCGAGGGTTGGGCCTGAGAGTCAGAGGATCTGGTTCACATTCCCTCATCATTTACTAGAGTTTCAGAAATCACAGTAAGTCAGTTAGCCTCTCTGGGTTTCAGCTCAGATAATGACCAATTAACCTTGCAGGGCTATTGTGAAGATTCACTGAGATAAGTGATTCCATTATTCATTCAGCGAATATTAGTTGAGCCCTGAATAGGTGCCCAGCACCACTGCAGAGGGAAAGTGCTACACATTTGATTATTGTAGGATGACAGCGATCATTATAATCGTTACTATGTTTAGCCCAGGAGATCTTCTATATCTTTGTTTCTTTTAAATTCAAAGACATTTTAGCTCTCAAATCATTAGGCCTTAACGTGGCTAAAGAATAATGCCTCATGAGGGTCCGATCTCTTTAAACTACCCTCTAAAGCTCTAACCTCTATAAACAAATTGTATTTCATGAATTTTTCTGATACCAAATAGCTCACCAGGCAAAGACCTTCAAACATGGAGCTTTTCAGAGAATTGAGAATGTCAGCTAAGATTTAGAAATTCAATTTACATTAATTTCTTTCATTAATATTGTAACCAAATGATGTACAATTATCTATATCAAAAAAGTTTTCCCAAAGTTATCCAGATTCTCTCAAAGGCATCATATAAATAAATAAATAAACAAACAAACAAACAAATAAATAAATAACTGTTGCCAGGGAATCGATTCCAACTCATGGCAACCCCATATATTTCAGAGTATAACTATGCTCCAAAGTCTGTGACCTTTTGGAAGTGTATCCCTGGGTCTGTCTTTCAAGGTGCCTTTGGGTGGATTTGAACTTCCAACCTTTCAGTCAGTAGCTGAGCGTTTAACTGTTTATGCCACCCAGTTACTCCCAGAAGAATCATATCAAGCTAATATATTGGGGCACCTACCTCTTTCAAATTGTAGCTTTTTATATCTTTGCATAATCTCAGCTGCAACCATGCACTCAATCTAAGGGAAAAAAAAATAAACAAGGAGTATAGCAAGCTGAAGGCTAGAATACAATGCAATATAAACCTAAGCAGAACACAAAATACCCCAATAAGCTAGAAGGTACATGTTTGTACACATTTCAAAAACCTGATTTGTTTCGTTAAACATGCCTCATTTTCCTGTAGATGGCCCTGTTTAGGGCAGGCAGCATCAGGGCAGCTAATTGCAGTTTCTAGGCCTTCTTTGATCAAGAGCTCAACGTACTGTTTCAGGCACTGAAAGAAAAAAACAGAGTAGCATCTATAAACATCTTTTCTTCTTTTCTTTATTTCCTTAAGGCCAAAGAAGTAGTGATACACCAAAAAAAAAAAAAAAAACCCACCATCAAGCACAATTTTTCCATTACAATTTTATATTTTTATTGTGTAGTCTATAATAACCACTAAATTAGAAGCTTTATTCATTCAACAAATATTTACTGGGCACCTATTCTGTGCCAGGGACCATAGCCTTGTTAATGAAGGTAAGGCTAATGAATAGCTCCCCATGCAAAAACTCAGTAAACACAAAAGCCAATAAATCTAACAGCAGGGAGCAAGGCAATGAGGGAGATTGGGAAATAATGTATCTCAAAATCATGCTAGATGTCAGGCACTGTACTAAATCCTTTCTATCACATCATTTCATTTCATCCTTAGAACATTCTGACAAGAAATGTATTGTTGGTCTATCTTGCAGATGTGAAAACTAAGACACCAAAAGAGAAACTTGCCAGTTTACCCAGAAAGGCCATAGCTAGATTAAAACCGAAGCTTGCTTAACTCTAAGCAGTACATGCTTTTCTCACTGAGGACCCATTTATATTTTACAATCATTGCTCATTGACAGCTCACTTAGCTGATAATTACTACCAACCTTAACTACTTGGGAGGACTGATTAAAATCTGGAAGTAAGTCAAAAAGATCAAAAGGAAGATACTACCCATAATTAATATAAATGATTATGACACTTTTCTCAGTACCACTTTACTCAAGCTTTACAAATAAAGTTTAAGCCTTAGAAAACCAATATTTCCCTGAAAACTACATGATAAACACCGATTAGAAGAAAACATGAACTGCCTCAAGTAAGCACATTACCAAAGGTGACTAGAGACACAAACTTTGAAGAGCTTATATAAGAATTTAAAGAAAGTAATTGCACAGGGAGATAGCTCAGGGGGCAGGAATGCATAGCAAAGGACAAAGGGAAGAGTTAATTACAGGGAGGAAGTAGGAAGAGAGTTGTTACATTGTGGGGACGTACAGTCAATGTCATGAAACAAAATGTTCATGAACTACTGTATGGAAAATGAAATGAATTTGCTCTATAAACTTTCACCCAAATCAAAATAAAAATTTAAAAAAAAAAAAAAAGAACTCAAAGAATATTTTTACCTAGGGCCATTAAATGAAAGGTAAACAATATAAAACACCTCAGCAGCACCTTCAAATCAACTTTTAAACATAATCCCAGTATAGATTCCAAATAAAAAAAAAACACAGACTCACTACTATGAAGTCAATTCTGACTCATAGCAACCCCCCATTGGTTTCCAAGGCTGTAAACCTTTACAGATCCAACAGGGAGGCAAACTTGTCTTGTTGGTTTGTCCTACCATGGTGACGTGTTGATGTGAGTTTTCAGGCTGAGCCACTGGTGTTTCAAACCCAGCGGGATGGACATGGTGCACAGGTATCATCCCAGCTTACAGACTGAGACAGACTAGGAAGAAGGAAGAGGCTGTCTACTTCTCAAAGAATTGGCCAGGGAAAACCTCATGAATAGCAAAGA